TTTTGATATCTATACTGCGGCCAAACTTTGAATTTTTAAAATTTTCGCAGGTCTTTCAAACTGTTTCAAGGTCAATTTAAACGCGGGAAGTTTGGGTTATTACAACATTTTGAAAGGTAGAAAGTTTTTTTTGCTGAGAACTAAGGGGTCTTCAAGTTGGCCAAAATGCACTTAATCGCAGCTTTTCTTTCTTGGTCAGGACGGAGGATTAAGCGATTTTGGTCTTTCATATTTTGTTTTATTTTTTTTATGAGAACACTTATAAGGCAAAATAAAGATATGTATGTAACGTTAAAGTAAATGGGAAGCGTGCAGGGCTTGTCATGACGTCATCAACATTTTTGTAAATACACTTATATCTCCTTGGATAACAGTATTGTATTCCCAAATTTTGCAAAAACTAGGTAAGCCGTTCCCGATTTAATCAATAAAATAACTTGACTCCTTCATTAATTTAATTAAAAACTTTAGAAGCAATGATAAATCACAAGTATATTTGCACATTTTGGAGGATCTATTCGGCAAAATTTTGAGATGATGTCATCAATTTTTTGGGAGGGTCTGAAAATAAAATTGTCTGGAAAATTAAGCAAATATTGTGTTTATTACACGAAAAAATGTATCTTTAATTTTTTCACACTTCTACATTTCGCTGTACAGTTTGCGAAAAAATTCCATGTTGATTTTTCAATAATTTCTCTGGTTTCCCAAACTCCACAACCCTACCATCTTCCATAACTAATACTTTGTCGGAATCCATAACAGTATCTAGTCGATGTGCTATCACCAAAATTGTGCAATCCGTAAATTTTTCTCGAATGGTGGCCTGAATTGCTTCATCCGTTTGCAAATCAACGCTAGCTGTGGCTTCATCCAAGACAAAAATCTTAGTCTTCTTCAACATCGCTCTCGACAAACACAACAACTGTTTCTGTCCTACGCTAAAGTTGGTACCACCTTCGTCCACCAGAGTCTGAAGACCCAGTGGCAAGTTTGCTATAAACGTTTTCAAGTTGAAAGCTTCCAAGGCACTCCAAACTTGAGAATCACTGAATTCATCAAACGGATCTAAATTTTTTCTTAAAGGACCTACGAATAGTATCGGATCCTGTGGAATGATGGTGATTTTTGATCGCAAAATATTCAGCGGTACGATTTTGGTGTCTACGTTATCTATGAGAATCTGACCTTCGAAATGCGTTAGACGAAACAGAGTGGACACCAGAGAGCTTTTTCCGGCTCCAGTTCTGCCAACGATTCCCACTTTTTCCCTTGGGTGAATTTTAATCTTAATATTGTTTAGTATTAAAGGTTTGTCTGGAGAGTACCGCATTGATATTGATTTAAACTCGATTTGTCCGACTTGGGGCCACGATGGTGGTGGCACGAAAGTACCGTCGTCTTGTTCTTGCGGCAATTCTATGTATTCTAGTACTCGTTCTACAGAGGTCATGTTGGCGCTCAATTCGCTCCACATTTTCATGACGTATTGGACTAGACCTACCAAGGCATTTGCTTGACTGACTGCTAAACCTATATTTGCTACCGATGCCTCTGAAAGTAATATCTTGTGGGCAAAGTTCTAGTAAGTACCACGTGGTACTCACCTGTGTTGAAAGTTAAAAAACTGAAAGTCACAATTGTGGAATATATGAGACATGTTAAATCGATCCAAAACGTGTAAGTAAAAAATAAAGACTTAAATAAGTAGAAAACAGAGGAATGAGTGTCTTGGTGGGATTCGAATTCTTCAATTAAAACTTTTTGTTTGTTAAAAACTCGTATTGTTGGAAGTCCGCGCAACGAAGTAACGACGTAAGTCAGAATAGGACTTTTAGCTGAAACATTGCTAGTTTTATAAGATAAAAACGGAGCTGCCAACTTACTGATTCCTTCCAGCTTTCTTACATTTCTGATGAGCGGTTGAAAGAGCCAAGTGGAGAAATAAATCAAAGGAATGGCTGCTAACGTTGGTAATATTAACCAATAATTTACAATTATTATAATTATCACTGTTCCAAGTCCATCCAAGGCAGTTCTCACCACTTCGTATAAACAGATGGGTACAATTACATCAACGCAACCCATATCTTGCGAGAACCGGTTTAGAATCCGACCACAAGGATGTTCGTTGAAGAATTTCATCGGGACCGCCAAAATTTTGTCCAACAAGGAATTGTGTAAATTTTTTGATACAGACATGAAATGTGTCATAAATATCACAGATAGGGTGTGATTGAGCAAGAAGAGAAGAACAATCAGAGACGCATAAACATATAAGAAATTTTCTAACGTCAAGTTGAAAAAATAGAGCGTCTCTGTTTTGTTCGAAATTGCTGGAAAAACAACAAACACAGAAATGAAGCTGTTCAAGGAATGAGTTAATAAAAGTAGCATGATTATCAAACTTGGTCGAATCCAGTGGTTTCCAGAGAAACAATACTTCTTGTAAATTTGTTGTGTGCTGTATTTGGTTGTAGCACTTTCAGGAATTTCGGGAGGCAAATTGTGAGATTTGACAACGTCTTCTTCGAGTGCTCCTTCATCAGGCTCCATAAAAACACTTTCACTCAAAGCTTCCTCGATCACTTTTCCTTTATCTATAATATATCGTTTTTTAACGTTCCTCAAGTACTTCAAGTGATGGGTCACCAGAACTACGCACTTGTCTTTCAAGTACCCCAAAATACATTCATTGAAGATATGTTGAGCCACCGTGGCGTCAACAGCAGCTAGAGGATCGTCTAATAAATAAATATCAGCATCTCGATACACAGCTCTGGCTAAATTTATCCTCGATTTTTGGCCTCCGCTCAACATCACCCCTCGTTCACCGACGAGAGTTTGGTCACCGTTAGCGAAAAGAGACAAATCGCGTTCCAAAGCACACGCTCGAATCACTCTGCGATATTTCTTCTCGTCTTCTTCTTCCCCGAAAAGAATGTTTTGTTTAATGCTTGCGGAAAAAATCCAAGCTTCTTGGGACGCGTACGAAATTTTTCCGCCGACGGCAATCGAGCCTTTTGCTTTAATTTCCTGGAGGATGACTTGCAGTAGTGTTGACTTCCCGCTTCCAGATTTTCCTGATAATCCAACTAGATCTCCAGGAAGAGCTGAAAAAGAGACATTTTCCAACACCGTGGAGATTTCGAAAGTCACGTTGACGTTGACAAAACTTTGGTACGACTTTGAGTTGCAAGTGTCAGTGCTTTTTGATAGCTGTCTTAAAGGAGCTTTTTTGTGTCCCGAAAGAAGAAATTCTTGAATGCGGGCAACGGAAGTTTTAGCTTCTGTATAATAAGTTACAGCCCCTTGAAACCGTAACACGCCTATAATGTTTAGGTTTTCGTAGATACTCATCAGAGGGAAAATGTACTCAGGCGTTAAAGACACCTTAGTCAAAATAGCGCTCAGTACGCATAAAAAAAGTTCAATTTTCGTAACATACATCCTGATAGTGTTGTTATTAATTGTTAATAAATTAGCTTTAATGAGTGCCGTCATTTCAGATCTACAAATCAATTGTTAATTGAGACGTGGTATAAGAACATATTGACATTACCTTCTAGCAGCTTTAACAAGTTTAGAAAAAGGTGCTTCCCACGTGTACATTTTCACTGTTTGTATGCCACCAACGACGTCATTTATCAATCGAATTCTGTCGTCGGTTTTCAAAGCCACTTCACTTTTTCTCACAAACATTTGTTTAGAAACAACCACTGAAACAGTTTTTTGAGTGAAAATATTACAAGTTGGAACTACAGACACTGTACAAATATAAAACAAACAATTATCGCAATTCCTGTAAGCGCCGTGGGTCCTAAAACGACGTTCATGTAATAAAGAAAAACCAAAATCTTTAAAGGTGCAATCCACAGGTAGTGACAAACGTTAAAAACGTCGTTGAATCTGTTTACATCGTTAAACAGATTTACCACTTGTCCGATAGAATTTGTTTTGTGTCTCTTCATCTCGAGACACTTTCTGTAAATTAACGAAGAACAAGCAACTCTCACTTTGATTCCAAAAGAACTAAATTGCAAATAAAACCAGTGAAAATGTAACACTTGCAACAAATTGACTAAAACAATTGACAAAGTAACCAGATAGATTTCGATTCCACCGACGCACTCTTGTTGTTTTAAGCAGTTCAAAAACTTCTTCATACAATAAGGTTGTAGTAACCTAAAACTAAGGCGTGTAGGTGACACGACATCAACTTCAGGAACAGCTAACATCACTCCAAGATCAATTGGTAAAATTATAATGCCTAGCAGTAAAAATTCTTTACCAAACGCTTTTAAAAGAGCCCTTGTCAATGACGGCTGCTTTTGACACTTTTCTTCTTTAATCCAAAAAAATTCCAACTTATCTCCGAGACTCGTAGCCCTGTGTTCTTCCGCAGCTTCGTACAAGTTGTTTTCAGTGAAAGCGTGCGATTTAAATAAAATTGGTAGTTCCCAGCTAAATATATGAAATATATAAAAGTAAAACCAATTTGACAGTAAATTACCAGAATAAAAACTGCGACAGGAAATTAGACCTGTCCTTCGGATGAGATTGTTTTTGCCGTCTTCTCTCTTTTTGTTCCATTTCGAGTGTTTGTTGGTTGTTAAACCTTTTACAACTGAACAGTTACACTTTTGTCTATGTATTTATTCAAAGCAGTTTTGATAAGATCATACATGTTACCAGAATTGAAGACCCATGTATTATGTATACATTTTTATTTAACTACCTGCACCACAAACCGTATCAGCAAGGATTGACAGTCGCAAACTATTCAAAAGCGCAAAAACTAAAAACAATATTTTAAAATAATTATAAATTTAAACCATAAAACATTACTGACCTCCTATAAAAAAGACTCCACTTATAGCTTATCACAGGCATATTACGTAGTTTTACAACGTTACATAAAAATATATGTTGTATTTATACTGAAACTTGTTCTAGAATTACGACCGAGTTGAAGAGGGTGTTTGTTTAAAAGACGCTCCTTCTTAAATTTAGATTTATTATCTGAGATACTTTGTACATAGCTTAATTAATAGTAATTAATCATAGTATTATTGTAATTAATAAATATTTCTCACTGTTTTCTTAAGTTATATAATTTCTAAAATATTGCATTTTATTTTACATTTATAGTTTTCTGTAACGCTATTTTACTTTTCATGTTTTTATCTTTAATAACTATGTAGTAATGACGAGGTAGCGCAGCGAGCCACTCTGCCCGGCAGCCTCCCCAAAAGCAAGTCTAATACGCCTACAAGATTTCAAGTTGTTGAACACACATTTTAAGTCGGAAATCTGTGTTTTAAAATTACAATTGCGCGGCAATTTTAATTTTAAAAACACATTTTTCGCCGCTATCACAAAAATTTGGCTTATCATAGCTCACATTTCAGTTTGTATTTTGTAGTTGGCGATCGCCAATCAATCGTGTCTTAAACTACGACTACATGTTACAACTACAACTTTTATGCACAACCGTTTTTAGAGCATTTCTTTTTTTACGAAATTTTTCCATTTTTGGTTATATACAAACTAAAATTGACAAAGTTACATATTGCTCTTAATTGTTTTTTGTGAGGGGGCGTTGGGTGATCTCCCTAAACCTACAAAATTAAAAGCTACGTTGGCCAATAACGCAACGAAAACGCTCGCATCGATAAAATTTCCAAACATCAACAAGTATATCAACTAAATAGGTATTTACAAATTTTTAGATTACTTTAATACAGGTACAATGTTAATATACTTCAATAAGAAAAGACTCGGTATTGTCCGACTAAATGTAAGATAAACAATTCGTTTTGTTTGTTTTTTTCAATGTATGTATGACAACCTAACTAAACGTGTAATAGTTTTGGCCAAGATTTTTTTTATGAACTATGACACCTAAATATCTACACTACTTAATAAATTACTATCTTAACCTAGAGATCTTACTCGCTAATCTTAAAATACTTTCTTTGGAAAAAAAATCATAACAAATTTTAGGCTCTTTGAAACTTTTTTTTTGTGTGTAACAATCTGTCCCGTGAAAAATTTTGAATTTCGAAACAACTCCTACAAATTCAACAATTTAACGTCACAGCCTAAAATTGAAATATTACGAGACTAACAGGAGAACGAAACAACTACTACCAAGGTGGTGTTTATAGGAAAGAAGATTTTTTGTTTTTGTTTGTTTTTTAGAGAGCCGATAGATTCACTCGATTTGGACTAAAACCGATGGCAGCCTTTTTGAGCAAAAATCTCACTTTGATTTTAAAGTCAATTACAAAGACTGTTAAGGGAAAAAATATCAAAAAACTAACCTAGATTGATACAATGAAGAACGTACAATGAGAGGAAATAAGGCAAAAAACTGTTCAGCTCTGACGACCAAACTGGATGCCAAGTACTTTACTCGTTTTTTGTTTTCTTTGTATTTTCGCAGTAATCAGTAGGACATGCGCACTATCGTAAAGGACTTGACAGACGAACTTTCCCCTCTACTAATACGATTGTTGCGAATAGAGTCATCGAGTTTAAAAAATAATCAAAACTAAACTAATTTATACACATCCTTATACATTAAATAACAATTGCTTGTTAAAAATATTTAGGACTTAGTTTTTTTCTTTTTATGTATCTACAAAAAGAATCCTAACCTAGGAAAAAGTCCAAAGCTAAACGGGCTTCTCTCACTTTCGTGTTAATAACAATAATATTGTCGATTATTTAAATAATATTGCATTTTTATTCTTGTTTTGTTTTTTTTATATACAAGCAAACATTTTTATTATTTTTTTTATAATAAATAAATTATCCCTTTTCTTAAGTGTCAACAACAAACCTCTTAATCACATTTTCAGCGTTTCCATTTTTTTACAGGTATCAGAAACGTCGTTGTTCGGAGGGAGAGGGAGCGGCGCGTCGCCGGCCCCGATCTCGCTGAGCGAGCCGCCTCCAGGCTGGACGTTCCGGCGCGTCGACCTCTTGTTCCTCCTCGCCGCTGCCGCCGCCGACGACGCTACCGTCGCCGACGTCACGACGAAGTTCTGCTGCCCGTTATTCCGCACCTGTTGCGAAGGGACAAAACTTTTACTCTTATTGTTATTATCCCCGTCCTTCTTGGCGGCGGCGGCGGCGGGCGGGCCGTGGCCGCTCCTCCGGCCGAGCGAATTCTGGTACGTCCTCGTGCCGCCGTTGTACATGTGGAAGGTGTTGTGCGGGGGCGCCGCCGCCGGGTGCGGCGGCAGCGGGGGCGGCGCGTCGTCCGCGTTCGCCGACGAGTTCGAGTCCGTCCGGAGACTCGACCTGCTCGAGCCGTTCTCGGGTTTGCGTGTCGCGTTGAAGTTACGCGTCTTCCGCCAGCCGTTGAGCTTGTACGGGGGCGGCGGCCCGCCAAAGTTATAGTGGTAAAGCGGCTGCGGCGGCTGGCCCTGGGCGAAGTGCGGCACGACGAGAGGCTGCGGCGGCGGCGGGGGCGGCTGCAGCTTGACGCGGCGGCCGCCCTGCATCGAGACGAGGTCCTTCTCCTGGTGTTGCTCCATCGACAGCAGCGAGACGACCGGCGTTTTCGTCTGGCGGCCGGCGTCGGCGTCGGCCGGAGAGCGCGCGGGGTCGAGCGGGGGCGGCGCCTGCGGCGGCGGTTCGTGCGGATCGACTATGTCTTGGGCGGGCGGCGGATGGTCGGCCACAGGGTAGGGGCCCTGCACATCCGCGCCAGCGTCAAAGCCGGGGGCTAAGAAATCGCCTACGATCTGACTAACCTCAGGATAACCGCCGTTGGCCATCTCCAGACCTTCGGGGTAGACGGAGACTGGGCCGCCCTCGAGCGGGCCCCCGTAAACGGGCACGTTGTAGTAAACGGGGTCGGGGGCGTAGGGCGGTAGTTGGGCGTTGTAGCAGGGCGGTCGGGGAGGGCTGCTGGAGGGAGGCATCGGACCGGGGGCCTGGGACGATCCGGCGGCGGCGGCGGCTGCTGCTGCTGCTGCGGCGGCGGCTGAGCCGCTATTGCTGCTGGGACCGTTCTGTCCACCGACCATGTACTGGGGTCCTCCGTTGTTCGGGTAGTAGTTGTACTCGTACTATCATCAGAAAAATATCTCAGTAAAATGTTTACGATTAAAGGGAAAAACACGGCTAGAGCGTTGAATTATTATTATTATTATTATTTTTTAAATCGTGTCGACATCCAGAAATCGAGGATCGCATCTTCGAAAAGGCGGAATTTCGAAGTTTCGTCACGTCTTGTTGTTGTTTAATTTCTTCTTCATAATTTCAACCTTCGTTCTAAGCATGTGTGACGATCAAATCTACATTATCATTATAATTCCTTCCTATCGGTATACGAAATATAGCGCTTTCGGTTTAGCCGGAAATGAACGCAACTTTACCTAACAAAAAGACATTATGGTTTTACGTTCTGTAAACGTCTGAATATTTTTGATAACAGAATAAGAAGAGTTTAAATCTCCCTGGCTAACTAAGATCTAGCATCTTTGATTGATTCTCCTAACCTCAAAAATTGTCTTTAACGAACCACAGTAAAAGCTCATCTTTTTGTTGAAGAGGCTGTGGTTTTGATTGATTAAAGGCAACAATTTTGTCCATTTTGATAATTTACAAAAAAATAAAATGTTTTTGTGGAGAAAAAACTGACTCGTTTTTTTGAAATTATATGCCAAAAGAATTTTGAAGAGCATAGTAGCAATTCCCACAAAAGAAAAAAAATAACTACGTTGACAATGCCTTTAAAATTTGTGTGTAATTTACGTTGTTCTTTGAATTTTTATATTTTGAATTTTAGAATTTTTCTGAGGATGAGTTTGGAGACATACCTAAAAGTACTTCGGCTAATAATTAAAAATTTATTTAAGTCGATTTGCTCAATCAAAAGGAAGCAGAAAATCTAACGTAAAAAAAATCTTTTTGTCATAACAAGTTTTGAGATGACCATTTTGGCATATATTACACAAATTTTCGGAAAAATGGAGTGAGTCACCCTGTATAAATAATTCTAAAAACTCTGATTAATGCATTGATAAACCACAAGTATACTCATGTTTTGGATATTTTAGGCCGAATTCATTGGTCAAAATTTGGACATGACGTCATCAATTTTTTGACAGGAGTAAACGTAATGATTTAGATTAACGCTTTACCATGCTTATGATAACCTTAAAACGTTTGCAAAATTCCAGAACATCCGGGTTCGTAGTTTCAAAGTTAAATTGCAAAATATTATAATTTTCATTTTTTTTTTTTCACAAATCTGAATGTGCCGGGAAAAACTCGACACGGATTCATAAACTACACATGTAGTAGTGATATTTATAAAATATAATTCTTCTTTCGATATCTCCTTTTATTTTCAAAAGAATGAATTCCCTACTTTTTCTCAAAATACTGCGCCCCAGGGGTGCGATTTTGTTTCTCGATCGAAAAAAACTCGATAGCGATAAAATCTCATTTGCTGATTGGTTGAGATGCTACATTTCTCGATTCTGTCACGAATCAAGTCTTCATGGAGTGATCTTTTCTCGATAGCTCTGAGTAAAGTGATAAATTTTGGAGACATAACCTCGAAATTTATGTCAAAATAGAAGTTCAAAATCGTAATTCTGTGTTATAAGTTCTTAAAATTAAGGTAATTGTAAACTTTTGAGCATTTAATGAATATATGCAAAGAATAAATGCAAACTTTTGCATTCAAAAGCTACGCAATGACATTTATCGCAAGTGATAATTTATCACTTCGATTTAGAAACACTCGATAGCGATAAAATCTCGTTTACTGATTGGTTGAGATGCTACATTTCTGTCACATTTCTCGATTCTGTCACGAAATCAAGTCTTCATGGAGTGATATTTTCTCGATAGCTCTGAGTAGTGATAAATTTTGGAGATATAACCTCGAACTTTATGTCAAAATAGAAGTTCAAAATCGTAATTCTGTGTTATAAGTTCGTAAAATTAAGGTAATTGTAAACTTTTGAGCATTTAATAAGCTTATATGCAAAGAATAAATGCAAACTTTTGCATTTAAAAGCTACGTAATGACATTTATCGCAAGTGATAAATTATCACTTCGATCGAGAAACAAAATCGTACTCCTGGTCTCACGACGAATAAAAAATTAATCACAATTGAGACGGGGGTGGGTGGGTGGGGCTTATTCTTTGACTTTCTGCTCATAAGATACGTGGTCTTCTTTCAACAATAAAATATTTAAAACGTCAAATGGTATATTTGAGGTTAGAATCATGTCCAGGTGAATCACCAAAATTGCCCCATCTACCAATTTACCCTTCAAATTTACTGAAAAGTCAAGTTGTGAATACTATTTTTTTTAATTTTTGGGTATTTTTTCTACTTTTTAGCATATCTCCTTTTACTTTTGAGAGGATAAGAATATTATTCATTCCCTATTTAACCTCAAAATAGTTTATTTCAACAATACGATAACATTTGCAACATGTTTCACTTGGTAATTTCTTGTACAGAAATACGAACTTTGTAATAAACTCCGCCCCCTCTGTCTCACAATGAATAAAAAATTCATCACAATCGGGATTGGGGCGGGTGGGCGGGGCATAATATTCGACCTCAATTTCTTAATATATATGGTTTTTTCTTTCAACAACACGATACTTTGCAATTAAGCTCCGCCCTTGGTCTCACGACGAATAAAAAAATTAATCACAATTGCCAGGGTGGGTGGGGCTTACATGGTATTCTCGTGTCTTTGTTTTAGAACATAAAACTTTCTCGGGGCTCCAACTGTCTTTTTTTTAGAATGGAAAAATGTGAAATTTTGTCGAGGGTCTTAATCATCTTTTTTCTTAATTTGTAATAAGCTCCACCCCCTGCTCTCACAACGAATAAAAAAATTCATCACAATCGGGATTGGGGCGGGTGGGCGGGGCATAATATTCGGCCTCAATTTCTTAATATATATGGTTTTTTCTTTCAACAACACGATACTTTGCAATTAAGCTCCGCCCTTGGTCTCACGACGAATAATAAAATTAATCACAACTGACAGGGTGAGTGGGGCTTACATGGTATTCTGGTGTCTTTGTTTTAGAACATAAAACTTTCTCGGTGCTCCAACTGTCTTTTTTTTTAGGATGGAAAAATGTGAAATTTTGTCGAGGGTCTTAATCATCTTTTTTCTTAATTTGTAATAAGCTCCACCCCCTGCTCTCACAACGAATAAAAAATTCATCACATTCGGAATTGGGGCGGGTGGGCGGGGCTTAATATTCGGCCTCAATTTCTTAATATATATGGTTTTTTCTTTCAACAACACGATACTTTGCAATTAAGCTCCGCCCTTGGTCTCACGACGAATAATAAAATTAATCACAACTGACAGGGTGGGTGGGGCTTACATGGTATTCTGGTGTCTTTGTTTTAGAACATAAAACTTTCTCGGGGCTCCAACTGTCTTTTTTTTAGGATGGAAAAATGTGAAATTTTGTCGAGGGTCTTAATCATTCTTTTTTTAATTTATAATAAGCTCCACCCCCTGCTCTCACAACGAATAAAAAATTCATCACAATTGTGATCGGGGCAGGTGGGTGGGGCTTCATTTTCTTTAAATGCAGTTAAGCTCCGCCCCCCACTTTCACATAAAACCCATTTACTAATTACAATTTTAAAGTGACGTCATCACATTGTTGGTGGGGACGATTAGACAAAATCGCCACACAACGGTGGACAGACAGATAGACAGACAGACGCACGGAAACGGACGTCAGATCTTAGTTAGCCATGACATCTGATTTTAGTGGCGCCTTCTGTGTGTAAAGAGAACGACTACAACTGAGATTCAAGCGGTTTCCTACAAACTGCTTCCATCGAGCGAATGGCTTATCGTCCACAATACGCATTTTCATTTATTTTATTTTTTTTTGTTTACCTAATCCAATTGTCGCTACTTCGATTTCTGGACTCGATACCGATCTTTTCAAGCTCCATTCGCCACACACCATAACATTTTTCTCGTATACTTAAAAAATAAAAAACTAAAAATTTCTTTCGCCACGCATGCTCAACAAAACCATAAGCTTGATAAACTGAGACGTTACGCAACAAATAACGAAATAAAAAAACAAAAACATTAACTATAAACGTTACGTATAACAACGAATAAGAAATTAATAAATGAAACAAAGAAGAAATAAACACAACAAGGCCTCGTGCAAAAAATCAAAATACAGACGTTTCGGCGTGCGATCAGAGACCTTAAGAAAGGGGCGGGGAGAGACGTGGGGAGCCCTCAGTACTGCAGGCCGTCCAGCAACACGTAGGCAGGCTGGGTGACTGGATACAGCCCTTCCGATATGTAGTTGCTGGACTGAACATACACACTATTTATACACGAACATTAAACAATTATTGTTTTTTTTTCCTATTGATGCTCGCAGCGAAACCAAAACAACAGTTATTTGTCCAAAATAAACAAGAAATCAATCATCGACAGTGTTTCAAGACATGGACAAGAATTTAAAGTGTGCCAAACATAGACATTTTGTTTTTGCTTAAAACGTATCAAGTTCTCGTTTAGTGGCCGTCACTACGGTTGGTGTGGTGGCGACTTCACTCCTGGTCCAACATTGCGACCCTTACAGTTCTCTAAAAACGTGAGCGACATTGTAAGCGAGTGAAATCACCAGTTAACACCATTTTAACATTTTGTTTTTGTACACAGTATGATGGAAAAAATACTCACCGGCATCGGTGGCATGGCGTACTGTTGTGGCATGTAAATATGATGAGGGAACATCATTGGCGAGTAAGTAGGGGCCTGAGGTGGGCCGGTTTGGGCCGGATACACAGGGGGTGCTAAAAAATACACACAATTAGTAATACTATAATAAATCAAAACTATCAACTTGTATTTAAAAACAAACACGGTACATTTCGTTACGCACCGAATGTTATCGTTTGAGAACTGTGATTACAGACTAAACAAAAGAACACAAACACTTCATCGCTGCTGCCAATATTTTATAACATAAAACGAGTTGTTTACTTTTCTAAGGAAATAATTGTGGAGGGTCTCTCGACTTGATGATTCGAGAGAATAAACTCGTAACAAGCACTATTTGAAAGTGGATATTTTCAAAACAAACCATGAGTAATGAATTGCTTGAGTAGTCGAGATTTATGCCGAAGTCAACAAGTCGGTTTTATGGGGGGTTTTATTACGACGCGCTCGATGTATCATAAAATTCTGGTGGGACGAACAGGACTCTTGCTTATACAGTGCGAAAAATGTTGTAGCTTATTTAACAATTTTACAAGACAGTAAGATATATCAAATGTTTATAAACGAGTCGGTAAAACTAAAAAATCAAAATATCCAGAAATCGAACAATCCAAAAATTGAAACGTTGGAATATCGATAAATCGAGAAACCAAAAAATTTTAAAACTGGAAAAATTGAAAGATCAAAAAAACGGAAATTTAAAAAATCGAGAAATTGAAACATTAAAAAAATGGAAAAATTGAAAAATTTTAAAATCGAAAAATTATATTATGTACATAGTTGAAAAATCGAAAAAAATCGAGAAATGGGAACATCAAAAAATCGAGAAATTGAAGCTCGAAATGGTAAAAATCAAGAAATGGAAAAATTGAAAAATCTAAAAATTTTAAAAATCGAAATGAGATTTTTTTTGCAATCGAGAAATCGGAAAATAAAGTTGAAAAATCGGAAAACTGAGAAACCGGAACAACGCAACATCGAAAAATAGAAACGTTAAAAACTGAAAAATGTAAAATTAAAAAAAAAAACAAAAAGCAAATCGAAAAATCGCGAAATTGGACAAACAAAATGTTGATATCTCGATAATTCGAACTAAAAAAATTGAAAAACCAAATTATCTAATGTCGAGAAGTCGAAAAATTCAGAGATCCAAAAATTGAAACATCTAGAGAAAATTAAAAAATTCGAAAAACTGAGAAATAGAAAAAACGAAACATTAAAAAATTTCAAAATTCAACATTAAAAATCGAAAAAGCAAACAAATCGAGAAAAAGATGAGTTAAATCAAAAAATTCAAAAATCTAAAATTTAAAAATTGAAGAACCAAGAAATCGGGAAATCGAAAATCTAAAATTTTAAAAATCGAAAAAATGAGTAATAGAAACTCCTAAAATTCGAGAAATCGAAGAATAAAGACGTTGAAAAATCGAAAAACTGAGAACCGGAAATAAAATCGAAAAAGAGAAACGTTAAAAATTGAAAAATGAAAAAAAAAAGGTAAATCGACAAACCATAAACTGAACAATCAAAATGTTGAAATCCCGATAAATCGAGGAATCGAAAAATTGAAAAATCAAAAGGTTTAAAAATTGAAAAATCAAAAATTTTAAAAACCGAAAAATTGAAATACCAAAATAGCTAAAACCGATATGTCGAAAATTTAAATCCAGAAATCGAAACATCAACAAAAAATAAAAAATTTAAAAATTCGAAAAATAGAAATATCAAAGAACCAAAAATTTGAAAAACAGAAATAGAAAAATCGAATAATTAAAATATCGCAAAATTAAAATATCGAAAAATTGAGAAATCGAAACATTTAAAAGTCGCGAAAATGAGAAATTAAAAAATCAAAAAATTTAAAAATTCAAAATTCGAAAAATTGAAAAATCTGAAGAATAGAAAAATTGGAAAATCGAAAAGTCCGAAAAGTCAAAAAATCGAAAAATTGAAAAATCGAGAAACTGCACAATCAAAATGTCGAAATCTTTATAACTCAGAGAATCGAAAAATCAAAAATATTGAAACACCAAAATATCTAAAACCGAGAAGTCGAAAAATCGAAAGATGCAGAAATCGAAACATCAAGAGAAAAATCTAAAATTTAAAAATTCGAAATAGAAATATCGAAGAACTGAAAAATTTGAAAAACTGAGAAATTGAAAAATCGAAAATTTTAATAATTGAAAAATTAAAATATCGAAAAATTGAAAAATCGAGAAATCGAAACATTAAAAAAATCGAAAAATTGAAAAATTAATAACTCCAACATTAAAAATCGAAAAAGTAAAAAAACGAGAAACCGAATAAAGAAAAAAATCGAAAAATTGTAAAATTCAAAAATTCAAAATTTAAAAGTCGAAAAATTGAAAAACCAACAAATCAGGAAATTGAAAATTCAAAATTTTAAAAATCGAAATACCCGAAAAAGTTGAAAAATCGGAAAACTAAGAAATCGAAATATGGCAAAATCGAAAAACAAACGTTAAGAATTCAAAAATGTAAAATTAAAAAAAAGGTAAATCGAAAAACCATAAACTGAACAATCAAAATGTCAAAATCCCGATAAATCGAGGAACCGAAAAATTGAAAAATCAAAAGGTTTAAAAATTGAAAAATCAAAAATTTTAAAAACCGAAAAATTGAAATACCAAAATAGCTAAAACCGATATGTCGAAAATTTAAATCCAGAAATCGAAACATCAAGAAAAAATCAAAAATTTAAAAATTCGAAAAATAGAAATATCAAAGAACCAAAAATTTGAAAAACAGAAATAGAAAAATCGAATAATTAAAATATCGAAAAATTGAGAAATCGAAACATTTAAAGTTGCGAAAATGAGAAATTAAAAAATCAAAAAATTTAAAAATTCAAAAATCGAAAAACTAAGAAATCGGAAAATCAAAAATCCAAAATTATAAAAATCGAAAAGTTGAAAATTCGGACAATTGAAGAATGAAAAAATTGGGAAATCGAGAAGTCCGAAAAGTCAAAAAATCGAAAAATAGAAACGTTGAAAACTAAAAAATGTAAAATAAAAAAATTGGTAAATCGAAAAATCGAGAAACTGCACAATCAAAATGTCGAAAATAATTCAGGGAATCGAAAAAACAAAAAATCAAAAATTTTAAAAATCGAAAAATCAAAAATTTGAAAACCGAAAAATTTAAAAATTGAAAACTTAAAATATCGAAAATTTGAAAAATTAAAATATAGAAAAATTTAAAAATGGGGAAATCGAAACATTAAAAAATCAAAAAATTGAAAAATTGAATTAAAACTCGAAAAAGTAAAAAATCGGGAAAACGAAGAGTTACATCGAAAAATTAAAAATTCTAAATTTAAAAATCGAAAAACCAAGGAATCGAATGGAAAAATTGGAAAATCGCAAAGCCCGAAAAGTCGAAAAATCGAAAAAATGAGAAATAGAAACATTCAAAAATCGAGAAATCGAAAAATAAAGTTGAAAAAAAAAACAAACGTTAAATATTGAAAACAAAAATTGGTAAATCGAAAAATCTAGAAAAAAACAATCAAAATGCCGAAATCTCGATAATTCGAGGAATCGAAAAATTGAAAAATTTAAAGGTTTGAAAATTGAAAAATCGCAAACTCAGAAACTTTGAAAACTGAAAAATTAAACACCAAAATAGCTAAAACCGAGATGTCGCAAATCGAGACATCAAAAGAAAAATCTAAAATTTAAAAATTTGAAAAATTGAAAAAAGTATCGAAAAATTGAAAAATCGAAACATTAAAAAATCGAGAGAACGAATAATTAAAAAATCAAAAAATTTAAAAATTGAAAAATCGAAAAACTAAAAAATCGGGAAATCGAATATCCAAAATTATTAAAATCGAAAAATAGAAAGGTTAAAAATTGAAAAATGTAAAATAAAAAAAAATAGCTAAACGGAAAAATTGAAAGATGAAAAAACTGAACAATCAAAACGAACAAATCTCGATAATTCGAGGAATCGAACAACTGAAAAATCAAAAAATTTCGAATTTGAAAGGTTTAAAACATTTTTGAAAAACCACAAATCGAAACATCAAGAGAAAAATCTAAAATTTAAAAATTCGAAAAATTGAAAAATAGAAACATCAAAAAACCGAAAATTTGAAAAACAAATGGAAAAATCAAACATTTTAAAAATAGAAACATTAAAATATCGAAAAATTGAAAAATCAAGAAATCGACAACATTAAAAAATCCAGAAAACCAATAATTAAAAAATCCAAAAATTGAAAAATTCAAAAATAAATTTAAAAATCGAAAAACAAAGAAATCGGGAAATCGAATATTCAAAATTATAAAACTCGAAAAATTGGTAAATCGAAAAATTGAAAAACCAAAATATCTAAAACCGAGAAGTCGAAAAATCGAAAGATCCAGAAATCGAAAAATGGAAAAATCAATAAATGTAACATCAAAAATCGAAAAATTAAAAAAAAACGAAAAACCGAATAAAGAAAAAATTGAAAAATTGTAAAATTCAAAAACCCAAAATTTAAAAATTGAAAAATTGGAAAACCAAGAAATCGGGAAATTGAGAATCCAAAATTTTAGAAATCGAAATGCCCGAAAAGTCAAAAAGGCGAAAAATAAAGAAGTTGAAAAATCGGAAAATGGTAAAACCGAAAAATAGAAACGTTAAAAATTCAAAAATGTAAAACAAAAAAAAAACAATAGGTAAATCGAAAAATTGAAAGATGGAGAAACTGAACAATCAAAATGTCCAAATCTTGATAATTCGTGAAATCGAAAAATTGAAAAATCAAAAAACCTAAAATTTTAAAGGTTTAAAACATAAAAATTGAAAAAGCAAAATGTTTAAAACCGAAAAGTCGAAAAATCGAAAGATCCAGAAATCGAAACATCAAGAGAAAAATGTAAAATTGAAAAATTCGAAAAATTGAAAATTTTAAAAACCAAAAAATTAAAATATCGGAAAATAAAGAAGTTGAAAAATCGGAACTGAGAAACTGAAATAAGGCAAAATCGAAAAATCGAGAAATGAACAATCAAAATGTCGAAATCTCGATAATTCGCGGAACTGAAAAATTGAAAAATCAAAAAACTGAAAAATCCAAAGGTTTAAATTAAAACCCGAAAAATCAAAAACTTTAAAAATCGAAAAATCAAAAATTCTAAAAACCGAAAAATAGAAAAACCAAAATAGCCAAAGTCGAGATATCGAAAATTAAGGATCCAGAAATCGAAACATCAGAACAAAAATCTAAAATTTAAAAATCGAAAAATGAAAAATCGAGAAATTGAAACAAAAAAAATCGAGAAAACGAATCATTAAAAAATTAAAAAATCAAAAAATTTTAAAATTCAAAATTGGAAAATTAAAAATCGAAAAACTAAGAAATCGGGAAATCTAAAATCAAAAATTATAAAAATCAGACAATTGAAGAATGGAAAAATTGGAAAATCGAAAGGTCCGAAAAGTCGAAAAATTGAAAAATCAAAATATCTAAAACCAAGAAGTTGAAAAATCCAGAAATCGAAACATCAAGAGAAAAATCTAAAATTTAAATATTCGAAAAATTTGAAAAATTAAATATAGAAAAATTGAAAAATCCAACACTAAAAATCGAAAATTCAAAATTTTAAAGATCGAAAAATTGGAAAATCGGAAAACTGAAGAATGGAAAATTTGAAAAAAGTCCGAAAAGTGGAAAAATGAAAAAACGGAAACAGTGAAAATAGAAAAATGTAATATAAAAAAAAGGTGAATCGAAATATTGAAAAACCAAAATATCTAAAACCGAGAAGTCGAAAATCGCAAAATCCAGAAATTGAAACATCAAGAGAAAAATTTAAAATTTACAAATTCGAAAGAAGGAAAATAGAAATATCGAAGAACTAGAAAATTTGAAAAAATGAGAAATGGGAAACATTAAAAAATCGAAAAATTGTAAAATTAATAAATCCAACACTAAAAATCGAAAAAGTAAAAAAAGAGAAACCGAATAAAGAAAAAATCCAAAAATTGCAAAATTCAAAAACCCAAAATTTAAAAAACGAAAAACTGAAAAACCAAGAAATCGAAATAAGGCAAAATCGAAAAATAGAAAGATGGAGAAACTGAACAACCCAAATGTCCCAAATCTCGATAATTCGGAAAATTGAAAAATCAAAATATTTAAAACCGAAAAGTCGAAGAATCGTAAGATCCAGAAATCGAAACATCAAGAGTAAAAATCGAAAAAGTAAAAAATCGTAAATTTAGAAATGTCAAAAACTGAAAAATCGAAAAATGAAAAAATTGAATAATTGAATAAACTGAATAGACATTTTTGCGATAACTTTAAAGTTTGCAAGATTTCAAAGCATTGGATTTTGTAATTTTAAAGTTAAATTACACAATTTTGATATTTTTTCCAAAGATCTGGTGATCTGGTTGCCCAAGGTAAAAACTCAAGACGGATTCATAAACCACAAATAGAGAAGTAAATTATTTTATCAAATTTAAAACATTCGCCATTATCCTTAACTTACCCTCCGAAAGTAAAACTCATCTATAACAAAAATTATTTAAATAAAAATAATTCAGTTTCATAAAAAATCGACGTGTATCCAGACGACACGAATTACGTCACACACTTTCTTTTATGTTGAGGCTGCAAAATTTATGTACCAATTCTCATAAAAAACGGCTTCATTTGCATCCACTTGCAAACTACGACCTTGTGGTTTACCACAAATCGCACGTAAACGAGTCATTCTATCACCGCGAAAGGAAAAATGCAACAAAATATTATTTCCTCGGACACGTGTTGATTAAAAAAAAAAACAGTAAACGGAATAGAATGATGCGGAAACCAAAAATAACTTCACAATCTAAACATCATTAATAAACTCGTCACCCTAGAACGAACTTTCCGCACCACCTTCAATAATTAATTTGGTCCCGGTAAAATCCAATAAATTTTAAATAACCTCCACTTAAACCGTCGTTTAGTTTAATGACTCAATTAAGGCTCGAATCGATCATTGTTTTATAGCGTCTTTGTAAAGATAGTTTTGGTTACTTATCGCAAAGGCGTAAATTTAGTGTCAATTAAACTACTTGTAAAACTCGTCACGGTAAAATTTGACGGTCGTCAAACGCTGAACAACGCCGTATTCAATCTATTCCTTGAACATTAACTTGTAGTTTCTCATGCTTATTCTATCAAGTATTAAAAAGAAAAGGTCGCAACAATTAATTTCGAGCTTAAAAAAATTGGTCGAAGCTATTATTTCGACAGAACTTCGCTCATCCTCGACAATTTCGAATGATTTACTTTGCAAAATTTTACGATGACGTCATCAGTTTTTAGAGGGTCACAGATTAACGAGGACCATACTTAAGTTATACACGAAATAACGGTTTTTAAGTCACCTTATTTAGATTAAGTTTGTAATATTCTTATTACCTTCTCAAACAACTTCTATTTACAGGAGACATTATTTTATGTATAGTAACAATTAGAAACACGTGAGAACTTGTTTCTGTTGCTATGGCTTAGATTTAACTTGGTCCAATAAACTCTCTCATTAAACTTGTGCTTGTATTTGATGTCACGACCTTCTTAGGAAACAAAAAAAATAAAATAAATAAAATTCGCCAAATCAAATTTTATAATTTTTCGTAGTTGGATTGTTCTGGGACGAGGGAAGTTCTCTCAAAATAACCGAAGACCATTAATTATTCCTCATTTATATTTAAAATCAATTAAATATTCATCAGACTTCTTCCATGGCGTCGTCTCTCGACTCACCCTGATAGACAGTCGTCGGCTGAGAATTGGGATCCCCGGGAGCGGCCGGCGGCTGCTGGTAGTAGGTCACACCTCCTTGAAAGTACGGAACTCCGGCAGTAGGAGGGAAAAAGTACTGGGCAGTGTTGCCGGGAGCCACGGTCGACGGACTTGAAGCGTCAAATGCCCGATTAAACGGCTGCAACACAAAATCGTAAACTCCTGGATCGCCCAAGGCGCGCCTTCTCCTCACTTGTTTCTTAATAGCTGGAGCGATATTAAGTTTTCTTTCCCTGAGCACTATGTTGTCTGCATCTTTCAGAGGACGTTTGGCGTCGTCCTCGCTCTCGAACGTGATGAAACCGTAGCCCTTCGAGACTCCCGCCCGGTCCTGGATGATCTTGGCGGCCTTCACGGTGCCGTAGTTGCTGAAGAGCTGGAGGAGCTCGCCTTCGGTGGTGTTGGCCGAGATGCCACCGACGAAGATTCGGTTGGGGACGAGGGTGCCTAAAAATTTATTATTAGTATTTAATATTTATTATAAGTTTTTCTTTAATGTCTACAAGCAAGTTCGGTTAAAGCACGTCATTATGTCCTTTGAATTTTTAATCAGAGACTAGTTATTAATAGACGCATTTTGTAGATACTTTTATTTTTTCCTGGTTATTTTCTTGACATGCATATTTAACGAAAATAGCTTAGAAAAGTTCCAATAACGAGCGTAATTATTAGTTTCTATCAGCCCTTGGTTAACGGCTATCAGAAACCCACTAGATAAGACTTACTATTGGCACAAATGCACTTTAATCGCTGGCTGGTTTGTATTGTAAATTGCAGTAAGGATTATATTTTATTATAAAATAAATATAAAAAGTACTCTCTTCTCTCAGGAAGGAGAGCACAATCTGTTGTTTCTCATGTACTAATTTCCGTGAACTCAACGTAATGACAGTTATTTAAAAATCAACGTGGATTTAAAACTCACCTTGATTACCGAATTACGTGAACAGTTGAAATACACTGCTCACACGACAGTTAGATCTAGTTACTGTTTCTAGTAATACAAAAAGTAACAATATTTATGACTAATAACTAGAGCTGAGCGGTTGAAATTTACGTGCTACGAATTAACCCCTCCCTCGGCGGACCAGGGGCGCGCAGCCGATGTTACTGCCGCGACGAAAATTATGAGAAAAATAATGTTATTTGAACGTTAGGTGATGATTTTAAAATCCATATCCATGAAATAATACGAATTATGTTAATACTTTTCAAGTGTTGGTTTCGTTGAAAAGAAAACTATTTGCGTAAATTAGCATCAATGTTCGTAAATTTGTATGTGTTAGTGAAGTTCTTTTTGACGTTAACAAATCGTTCAACAAAGAAAATGACCTTTCTACGTCTACACTAGTAACAGGCGGATGATCGAAATATTTTATAAACGGTTGATAACGTGTATCTATGGCATTTTCTTCTTTAGAAACAAATTGTTGTAGTATATGAAAATCTGGATTTTTAGTAAAGATTGCTTCGATTTTCCGTGTTAGTTGGACACCAAAATTTTCGGGAATGTTCTTCAACTCACTTAAAATAACGTTTAACTTTGTTACCGCTTCGATTAAAGATAGATTTGGGGTTTCAAAATATGTTATTGTAGCCGGTAACTCTTTGAAATGTCTTTTAATATACTGCAGTTGTTCTTTGCATCTAGGTTTTTTGAGTACATCTTTGCATTGCGTAATGCTACGAGCATCGTCGTTTAAAGCAAATACAACTTTTTGTATTGCTTCAATATGGTCAGCATAAAATAAACTGGCTTCTAACCATGTGCCCCATCGCGTAATGATTGGTGAGGGCGGCAAAGGAAGATCTGGGCACATTTCTTTATACAAGTTCACTCTTTGCGGGGCCTTTAAGAATATCTTTTTACATGTACTTATTAATGCATCGACATCCGAAAAGTGGTCTCTGATAAATTCGCAAACACGATGGAGTGCATGTGCTATACAAGTAATATGTAGCATATTTTTATACCAATTTTTTAATAAGTTACCAGTCTTTATCATGTATGGGGCAGCATCGGAAACGAATAAAAGTACTTTGCTGCGTTTTTCGTCCACATTATCATCAAAAATATAATTTAAGCATTCATCAATAATTGAAAACATAATTTCACTATTCACTTTATCTGACACATGGCAGTCTATCACATAAGGTTGATACACTTGTGTTGGATGTAATATGCCTATTACAACATTTACAACACAACGTCCTAGAATATCTATAGTTTCATCGGCCGCAACCCATATATAATTTGACCCGATTTTGGACTTAATTTTTTCCATAACACTAGAATAACATTTTGGCATATAGTATCTTCGCAGTGTTGATTGATCTGGAATGTGTCGCTGTGTGTATTTTGCTAAGAAGTTTTTCAAAATAGGGTTTTGAAGTTTATTTAACGGGATATTCGCAGCAGCAAAAGCGGTACATAAGTCTGTGTAAAAATCACCTTTTACAGGCTGATTCTCGGCTTCTATGTGTTTTTGTGACCTGACGTGGTTTGCTAAAATACATTTTTGGCGACAATGTAGATTTAAATCGCAGACGAGGCATTGCACTACATCATCTTGAATAAAAACAAAAGTATTCCCGAACTCTGCAATCCAGTGATGAATATGTTTCGCGTAATCGGTTGCGTGAGCCATTGTACAAAATCAAAAACTAAATCAATGTAAAAACAAATTAAATCAAACTCAAAGTTTATCCGCGAATAAAATAAAACGTAACAATAAATTAATTTATAACTTAAATGCAAAACAAATTATCCAAATTCAAATCAAATATAACAACTTAAATAACGTGACAGATTATGCCCTTACTACACGGTTTTTAGTAGCAGAAATAAAGGAAGGAGGTTGTCAGGTCGATAGGCAAATAATAATTGTACAGCGGGAATCGGACAAGGCAAGGCTGCAGCCGGCCGGCACTGATCGCGATTAGTGGGGGTAAATAAATTTCAACCGGACAGCTCTACTAATAACATACCATCTAAGATCATTGATTTTTGTTTTTTTTTTAAATCCGATTTTTTTCCTACCCTGGTTGCTAAGATAAAACTGAACAATATTAAGAGTAGTCACTGGAATGAAGAGGGGGTGGGTGGGCGGGGCCCATTGCTTTATTATAAAAGACTGTAGGACAAAGTTACTTAGTTCCGCCCACCCACCCTTTCTCTCATTTTTTTCTTCAGAAATAAGAAATATATCTTATAGCAAATAACGAAAAAAGTACAATTAGCACGGTTTTTTTTCTTTTTTTTTAATAGTCCAAGTTCTGTTAGTTTCCATTCCCACTCGACCAAGGAACATATAACTAGCCCCGCCCACCCACCCGTCTCGTTTCACTGATTTATTTTATTTAGTGTGAAGATGGATCTTTTACTTAGGGTGAATGTAGTACTTGGTAGGATAAGACTGATTTTGTTAAGTGACTTATCGTTTAAGAAAATAGCGGGCGGGTGGGTGGGGCTAGTATTTACTAAGATAAAAATGGAAAAATTGTAAAATTGAAAAGTCTAAAATTAAAAAAAATCGACAAGTAAATCGAAAAATTGAAGAATCGAAAAATCAAACATTTTTAAAAATCGAAAAATTCAAATACCAAAATATTTTAAGTCGAGAAGTCGAAAAATCAAAGTATCGAGAAATCGAAACATCTAAAAACTGAAAAAATCTAAAATTTAACGATTCCAAAAATTCAAACATCCAAGAACTAAAAAATTGAAAAACCGAGAAATCGAAAAATCGAAAATTTTAAATATTGAAAAAATTAAAATACAGGAAAACTATGAAATACAAACATTAAAAAAATGAAAAATCGAAAAAAAATTAAGAAGTACAAAACGAAATATTGAAAAATTCCGAAACTGAAATATCGAAAAATTGAACAATGGAAGAAAAATTGCAGAATTGAAAAAGTGAAAAATCCCAAAACTGAAACATCGAAAAATTGAATAATCGAAAAATGGGAAAATCGAAAAGCCGCTTAATCGAAAAACTGAAAAAATCGGAACATACATATGTATAATTAACAATAAAAATTAATATTAAGACTGGTCCCTGTAATCAAGACGGGGTGGGTGGGCGGGGTTATTACTTTCTTATAAAAGACTGTACGAAACAGATAAACTTAGCCCCGCCCACCCACCCATTCTCTAATGAAAAGTGGATCCTATACTAAACACAAATAAAATCATTAGAATGCGCGAACAGCGCGGGTGGGCGGGGCTAGTATTTCCCAAGATAAAACTAATTGTGGCTTATCACATACCGTCTAAGAAAATAGCGGGCGGGTGGGTGGGGCTAGTGCTTACTACGATAAAAAATGAAACATTGGAAAATTGAAAAATCTAAAATAAAAAAAATCGACAAGTAAATCGAAAAATTGAAGAATCGAAAAAACAAACATTTTTAAAAATCGAAAAATTCAAATACCAAAATATTTTAAGCCGAGAAGTCGAAAAATCAAAGTATCGAGAAATCGAAACATCAAAAAACTCAAAAAAATCTAAAATATAACGATTCCAAAAACTGAAACATCCGAGAACTAAAAAATTGAAAAACCGAGAAATCGAAAAGCCGAAAATTTTAGATATTGAAAAAATTAAAATACAGGAAAACTATGAAATACAAACATTAAAAAAATGAAAAATCGAAAAAAAATTAAGAAGTACAAAACGAAATATTGAAAAATTCCGAAACTGAAATATCGAAAAATTGAACAATGGAAGAAAAATTGCAGAATTGAAAAAGTGAAAAATCCCAAAACTGAAACATCGAAAAATTGAATAATCGAAAAATCGTTTAATCGAGAAACTGAAAAAATCGGAACAAACATATGTATAATTAACAATAATAATTAATATTAAGACTGGTCACTGGAATCAAGACGGGGTGGGTGGGCGGGGTTATTACTTTCTTATAAAAGACTGTACGAAACAGATAAACTTAGCCCCGCCCACCCACCCGTTCTCTAATGAAAAGTGGATCCTATACTAAACACAAATAAAATCATTAGAATGCGCGAACAGCGCGGGTGGGCGGGACTAGTATTTCCCAAGATAAAACTAATTGTGGCTTATCACATACCGTCTAAGAAAATAGCGGGCGGGTGGGTGGGGCTAGTACTTACTAAGATAAAAATGGAAAAATTGGAAAATTGAAAAATCTAAAATAAAAAAAAAATCGGCAAGTAAATCGAAAAATTGAAGAATCGAAAAAACAAACATTTTTGAAAATCGAAAAATTCAAATATGTACCAAAATATTTTAAGCCGAGAAGTCGAATAATCAAAGTATCGAGAAATCGAAACATCAAAAAACTCAAAAAAATCTAAAATATAACGATTCCAAAAACTGAAACATCCAAGAACTAAAAAATTGAAAAACCGAGAAATCGAAAAGCCGAAAATTTTAAATATTGAAAAAATTAAAATACAGGAAAACCAAGAAATACAAACAATAAAAAACCGAAAAATCGAAAAAAAATTAAGATGTACAAATCGTAATATTGAAAAATTCCGAAACTGAAATCGAAAAACTGAACAATGGAAGAAAAATTGCAGAATTGAACAAAGTGAAAAATCTCAAAACTGAAACATCGAAAAATTAAATAATCGAAAAATGGCAAAATCGAAAAATCGCTTCATGGAAAAACTGAAAAAATCGGAACATACATATGTATAATTAACAATAATAATTAATATTAAGACTGGTCACTGGAATCAAGACGGGGTGGGTGGGCGAGGTTATTGCTTTCTTATAAAAGACTGTACGAAAGAGTTAAACTTAGCCCCGCCCACCCACCCGTTCTCTAATTTGTTTCTTCTGAAATAAGAAATATATCTTATAGCAAATAGTATAACGAAAAAAGTACGATTAGCACTTTTTTTTCTTTTTTTTTTTAACAGTCCAAGTTCTGTTGGTTTCCATTCCCACTCTACAAAGGAACATATAATTAAACCCGCCCACCCACCCAGCCTCCATTTCAGTGATATATATTTAATTTAGTCTGAATGAAAGGTGGATCTTATACTGAACACTAATAAAACCGTTAGAATGAGAACAGTGCAGGTGGGTGAGTGTAGTACCTGCTAGGATAAGACTAATTTTGGTAAATGACTTACCCTTAAAGAAAATAAAGGGTGAGTGGGCGGGGCTAGTATTTGCTAAGATAAAACTGATTGTGGCAAATGACATACCATGTAAGAGAATAGTGGGCGGGTGGGTGGGGCTAGTACTTGCTAAGATAACACTGAACAATATTAAGAGTAGTCACTAGAATGAAGAGGGGGAGGGTGGGTGGGGGCCATTGCATTCTTTGAAAAGCCTGTAGGAAAAAGTTAAACTTAGCTCCGCCCACCCACCCGTTCTCATTTTTTTTCTTCTGAAATAAGAAATATATCTTATAGCAAATAGTACTCACTGGAATCAAGAAGAGGGGGTGGGTGGGTTGGGCTATTGTTTTCTTATAAAGGATTAAATCACATACCGTCTAAGAAAATAGCGGACGGGGCTAGTACTTGCTAAGATAAAAATGGAAAAATAGGAAAATTCAGTCATCAAAAGATTGAGCAATCGAGAAATCGAGAAGTCGAGAAGTCGAAAAATTGAGAAATCGAAATAAGCCAAAATCGAAAAGTTAAAACTGAGAAATCTAAAATGAAAAAAATCGATAAGTAGATCGAAAAATTGAAGAATCGAAAAAAACAAACATTTTTAAAAATCGAAAAATTCAAAAACCAAAATATTTTAAGACTGAATTAAGGGTAGTCACTGGATTTTTTTTTCCACACTTAATCAATAAAATAAATTCATTAATTTTTTGAACCACCGATTTAAGCAAATCTAAAAAATAGTAATGCAATGATAAATCACAAGTAAAAACTCGCCATATTTTGCACATTTTCGGTAGAATTTATTCGGCGAAATTTTGAGAAGACGTCATCACTTTTTTTGGGGGAGTAAACAGATATATTTTTATTAAAAAGTGACCATGCTTACAACAACTTCAAAACATCTGCAGGATTTCAAAGTATTAAGTTTTGAAATTCTTAATTTAAGACTCAGTCATTAATTTTTTTGAGACAGCGATAACCAAAATTTATCTGATTACCCTAATCAATATTTTGATGACGTCACCTAAAAACTTTGCACAGTAAATGCCACTAAAATTGTATAAAATACCAATCCTACTTGTAGTTTATGAATCCGCCTCGATTTAATTTACAAGAGTTACCATGAAAAAAAAAAGGTCTAATGTTATTACAGTCGAACACAAGCGACTTCTTCGGAAAATTATAAAATTTAATTTTGCGAATTTTATTTAAATGGTAAACCCCAAAAAGTATAAATAATATTAAAAACTATCAATTTGGATTGTTTTTTTTTTTTTTTCAAAAATCTGGATGTCAAAGGTAAAAACTCAACACGGATTCATAAACCACAAGTGCAGGAGTATCTTACTTTATAAAATTTAAATGAAAATTCGTAAAAACAGATTCCATCATTTTTCGAAACTGCATTTGTTGAACCGTAGGTACTTCAGGAACGAAGGAAATTCTGTCTACTACCCCGGACCAATTTTAAGCCGATATTTTCCAACTTTGCTCTTAGCTACAGGGGAATTTGAAGTAACGTCATCAATTTTTGAAGACGGATAAATTTTGATCAAACAATTTTAAGATATTTAAAAAACACTCAGTCCGGTAGTTATTGGTATGGAACTACACGACTAACATTTTCGTATTCTACAGATTATGAAATGTTGAGATAATATAAAATTAGACATTCTCAAAATAATCCGTAAGTAAACTTTAAGAAAAAAAAAATTATTTACAAATTATGCACAAATATACCGAATCTACAGAGAGCAATTAAAAACACGATCCAAGACAACCATGGAATTTTGAAGGTTTGTCTTTGATGGAATTTTCGTCTTGTCAGATTGCCGTGAATTTGAAAGTTTGACGATAATTTAATTTCTTCGAAAAAAGTATGTTTAATTCGGTTTCATTTTGGCAATAAATATAGAAAATAATAATGATATACAGGTTGACAAAAAAAAATGACGCGCCAACTCGAAGGACACATCATTAAATTCAAAAGTTCGCGAAAAAACATTAAACATACTTTATACAGGGTGATGAAAAATGAAATATAAACTTGATGGTACGTCGCTAATAAGGCTCTGGAGAAGTTGGAAAAAATTAACTTCGTAATTCTGATTTGTCACCCTGTATATTAAAAAAAAGATTTCTTTTTTTTTTTGGACATAAAATGAAAACAAAATACGACGAAATATCGAAAAGAAAAATTAAACTTTGACGGCCTATAAATCCCATATAATATCTATAGGATTTTTTAAAATATTTTTCCTTTATTCAATAAACAGTTTTTAACGTGTCATAGAGTCAGTGGACAATTTTTGATCACCTGTATTTTTCAAAGATTTGAAACGCTTTTACTTATTCATGACTAATTTTATACAGACTCGAAAAGATTTATTTTTAAAAGCCGTAAAGAATAATAACGCTATACAGGCTGATCAAAAAACTACGCATCAAATCGACACTGTCAAGTCCACAAGTTCCAGAGAAATCATTAAAATATTTTATGTAATAGGAGTATTAAAAAAGTGAAAAAGTAACCACTGTTGCCATATTAATTCTAAACAATCTTTATATCATATATTTTACATAGTTCATGACGTCATTTCAAATAAGATAATTTAGTTTTTTTTTCCATTTTGAAAACTGCGAATTTCGGATCTTCGCCTATGGAACTTTCCCGAAATGTTATAATTTCTCTTTGACCGACTTTCAATTTTGTGAACACGTGTTTTTTCTATCTCCGTTTTAATAAAATACAATAATTATATAATCAAATACATCAAACACAATGTCGAAAAAATAGAAATATGTAAAATATTTCCCATCAAGTGTTGAAATGCGAAAAATATTTCCTCAATTAAAAAAAACTGTTAAAAATCCCGAAAGCAAATAAAACACTAAATAAAAAAAATATATAATCTTTAAATTTAAACACACAATATGAAGAAAAACGGCTTCATAGAAATAACCAAAAATTTTTTGCTCAAGACTCGCTTCGTTCTAAATACAACGACAAACTAAGACAGTATTGGTCTGAATTTACAAATAAAGAGAAATTTCTACGTTGACTGTATTAGATCATCACTGTAGAACTTTACTCTTACCAAGACTGTTATGAATAATAATGCCGCACATTTATTTAGGTCTTGTGACTAGAGATACAAATTATATTAGAAGCATTTGTCATTTTTTCAACAGAATGATGTATCACATAAATGGGAAGTTTTGATAATAAAACTTCACAAAATTGCAAAATTGTCGGACAACTCTTTATTTCAACCCCCAGTAGAAACCGTTCTTATTTATTTATTTATTGCTTCTAAATTGTTTGAGGAGTTTTTGTACCACGACATTACTAAAACTCCCTTATTTTTCTTTTAAAACCCGTTTCCTACATGCTAGTAAATTTTCCTTAAACTTTGGAAATCGAAGACTTACTTATTTTGCATACTTAACTGAATCAACGCCCCGTGGGGTTGGCTGTTTTAGGCAAGTAAGCAAAAACCATCTCACCGTATTTGGGGGCGTTGTTGTTAGGGGGCGGCGGGGTGCTCTGGGAGATGGTCTGCGAATTGCCATTCGTCACCGGGGTGCTGGCTGGGGTGTTCACGGCCGAACTGTTGGAGCTCTTCTTGCCGTTGGTTTGCGTGGTGGAGGCCGACATTTTTACTGATTACCAAGCGAACTCTCTGAGGAAAACTACCTGGGGGCAGCGAAAAGTGAGGTTAGAGTTGCAAACACACTAGAAAGCGGGGCGCATTTTCGCGGATCGTGCTTAGGGGGTTGTCTAGCGGCGGTCGGGGTTTGTTCGTTCGTGAAAAAGCGAAAATATACAATGATGTGTTTATCGCCAATTTGACAATAAATACAAACAAAAACTTTTCGGGATTTAGTGGGGAAACGCCAAAAGTCCCTAGGAAATGACCTAGATTGAAAATTTTGGGCCCTTTCGAGGGGGGCTCGGGAAACGCACGGAAAGCCCGTAAATCGAAAAGACGGCGGGGGAAAGCGGAAAAGCGAGAGCGTCGGGAGGGAAAATCCGGGAAAATCGTGCACGGCCGCGAAACGCGCACGGGAAAAGTCCCGCGAGGCCAATCGGGGCCAATTGGGCCAAAATCGGGTTTAGTTTCATTCAGGCAAGCTTTCCCCGACGAGTTTCCCCCGAAAAATATAAATAAAACCCAGGTAAAAAAATACCGCAGTGGGACTGCAGGACGGTAGGATAATGTATGAAAAACCGCCACGGCGCGCCCTCTCCGCACAAACAAACTTACTTGTGGCAACAACACCGTGGATTTATGAAGAATCATTAGTGATTTTGAAGAAATGAACACAGAAATTATTAAAAACTAAAGTCGTTTTCACTACAAAACGGAGCCATCGATAAAATGGCGTCGACCAATGAAAATGCGCGATTTCGTGACGTAACGGTTGGCAACATGAAAAACGAAAATATTGAAAATTTATGCGCCGAGGGGCAGACACTCACCTTGCTTATTGCGGTTCTTATTCCGAAAACCATGCGTTTATACAAGTGAACACTTTGTTTTGTAAAAAAAACTTAACAAGGAAAAAAATTAATTCTGTCAATAAATCAACAAAGTTAACTGTCAAACAACGTCACCATGGCAACGCGACTTTCGGTTTCAAGCGCCAGTGGCGGAACAGCCAGGCGGAGAATGACCGAAAAAAACTCAAACGAAGCTGGCAAATATGGCCCAAGAGCACGGCGGTCTTGATCTCACGAAGAAGATTCAAGAACTGATGGTAAATGGGGCCCTCGGTACTCAGAACCCTTTGGCTTTTAATGAGGCTTAAAAATTACGCAAGCGCAGTAGTTCATACCCCAAGCTTTTGAGTTTGGAAAGGTAGAAACGGGAAAAATTTCGATTCAAAACGAAACCCACACAATGGGGTTCTTAATCCCTTCAACTAATATTTGGTGATAATTTCTTACCTGCTTCTTAGGCATCTGCACGTGAGGTTTTCGAGTTGGTGGAGGGAAATCTGTAGAGACTAACCCAACAAATTACAATAATTTAATCGAAATTAAGTACCTATTGCTTTCAGCTACAAACAGCGTTCTAATTTACCTCTGACTTTACAAATTTATACATTTTGGACAGAAAATTTGACAAATTAAATTAAAAAAAAATGATTCAAAGTTATTTGATGATTTTTTAATATTGTAAAATCAAAAATTTCCAAAAAGCAAAGTTATTCAATCGTTCCGGGACTTTATACTAACCCTGTATTTACCGCTATTGAAAAATATCTGTAAGCGTTTTGTACATTGTCATAAAGAGATTTTATATTTTTCTAATTTTAAGGCTATACAAAAATTCTAAAATTGCCACATCCATTTCGATATGAAGGAATTAATTAGGTAATTGAAATACAAACTTTGTGTACACCGAATGCAATCAAAGCTTTGAATTGTTGAACCATCAGCTTGACACAATAAACGGAGTATATATGTGAGCATAAATTATAAAAACATTTATACCATGCCAGGTATATTAGAAGTGACAAATTTTTAAAACCGTCACACAAACTTTCTCTTTTGGGAGGATTAGTCTCAAGGTCGTCGAACTTGCCAGTGTAAGACAAATTCCAAAAAAGAAGGTAAAAACAATAAAAGGATTAACAGTGGGCATTCAGGTACTAGAAACCGTATTTTTCACTCAAAACCTTTTGCCGATCGTTTTAAAAATCCTGGAAGCCTCCGATCGTACAATAAAGAAATAATTCTTCAGCAAAAACATGTTTTAGCGATTTTTTGAGGGTTAAAATCTGTCATGGAAATCAAAACCAGCTTTTTAAAACTAACAAGTTAAATGAAGCGTATTACTGGTTGCATAACTGATCATTGTTAGTTTACGTAAACAAATTATAATTTAAATTACCAACAATTTATATGGGCGAATATGAGTGTTTTTAAATGACTCAGAGCTTTTTATCAGGCAATTTTGTGCATATGATTTGTTGAACTTTGAGAAATAAATTTAATATTACCATTTATAGAGGGATTTGTTGACTCATTTACTATTGTATTTTATACAAAGAATTGCCAGATAAGATATGACATCAATTTTACATTTTAATTATAATCACTGTTGGAATAGAGCGGCAAAAATTGTCACACATCAGTGCGATATTTATTATTTGTTTGTGGTTTCCACACTTGTTATCAGAAATGTTGCGTAAGGTAAAAGAAAACCGTAACAGAATACAGAACAGTCAGCGTTTTCATAATGTGAAGGTATCCTCTGACAAAACGCCGAAACAAAATGCATATTTTCGGAATGTGAAGCAAGAGTTACAACGTAGAGAAGCTGAAGGGGAGAGCGATCTTCAAATTAAGTTCGTCAAAGGTATTCCGCGCATTATAAAAGTATCCAATCATTTAAAATCGTAAAGCCCAACATTTCATCTACTTCTTTATATTATCAAAATACACGGAGTATCCGAAACAAACTAAGCCAACTTTCAATTTCGGTTTTAGATTTAACTTATGACATTATTTGCATCACAGAGACTTGGTTACAAGACTCTATTTCTGATTCCGAAATTTTCCCTCCTCACTTATACACAATTTTTAGATGTGACCGTAATTATAATGCATTGAACTTGTCCAGAGGAGGTGGTGTTTTGCTTGCTTTGAGAACCCATATACCTGTGACAATTGTTGATTTAAGTCAATTACGGAATGATCTAGATATGATTGAAATTGTAGGTTGTAAATGTTTTTTAAATGGTACCTTTTTACACATTTTTGTTGTTTATTTTTGTAGAACTCCATCACTTAATGAGTTGTTAAGGTTTTGTGAATATTTTGAAGATAACTTTAATACAAATGAAAATTTCTTATTACTGGGTGACTTTAACGTTCCAGAATTCATAATAAACAATGATAATATTCTTGTTAATACTCTTAATAATTTTTGTAAATTTTTAAATTTAGAGCAATACAATGTTATTAAAAATAGAAACAGCAGGCTACTAGATCTTGTTTTTGCCAATGTTGATTGTTCTGTCAAACACGATGATTCCCCTTTAATTGTAGAGGACAGCTACCACCCTGCTCTCTCTATTGTGGTTAACATAACTAACACTACATTTAATAGCTTCCCCACTAATAATTCACCTAATACTAGTGTATATAACTTTAAAAAAGCCAGGTTTCACTTCCTCTATCATGATCTGTGTAACATTGATTGGTCAGTTTTAAATACTTCTGATGACATTGATATTCTAACCGAGCGTTTTTATGACATTTTATATCAAGTTTTGGATAAGCATGTTCCAGTATATCATAATCATCAAGATAAAGTACAGTATCCACCTTGGTTCGATCTCTCTATTATTAAAAATATTAAATTTAAATCTTATTATCACAAAAAATTTAAACAGTCACTTAACGAATTTTACTACTCTAAATTTAAATATTACCGTAAGATTATTAAAAACCAAATAAAAGCTGCTTACAAAAAATATACTGACTCTATGCAAACAAATATTTCCAAAGATCCTAAAATATTTTGGTCTTATGTTAAATCAAAAAAAGGTCTTACAAGAATTCCGGGTAAGATGGCTTACAATGATAATATATTAAATTCACCTAATGACATAGTTAATGCATTCGCTATGTATTTTCAGACTTCTTACACTTCGTCGCAAAATTCATCGTCACAAAAATTTACAACTGGAGTTCACTCTCTTCCCATAAATATCAGTAAAATCACTGATAAAGACATCTTGTCTGCTTTACGTAATATTAAAAATTCTTTTACAGCAGGGCCAGATCAAATACCAAGCTTTCTATTACGTGACTGTGCAGGTTTGTTTGTCCAGCCTCTGTCAATAATCTTTAATGTTGCTCTTAGTACTGGTACTTTTCCCTCAAAATGGAAAACCTCTAAAGTTACCCCGATATTTAAATCAGGTGAAAAATCGAATGTCAGTAATTATCGACCAATATCCATAATTTCAAACTTCGCTAAAATCTTTGAGATAGTTCTGTACTCGCATATCTATTTTCATATTCAGAATTACATAACACCTCAACAGCATGGTTTTATGAGTAAACGCTCCACTGAAACAAATCTCACATGTTTTTCACAATTTCTTTCAGAGGCACTTGACAATCAGTCCCAAGTTGACACTGTTTACACAGACTTTGCAAAGGCCTTCGACCGAATTGATCACAGGTTATTATTGTTAAAGTTAGAATCGTACGGTTTTTCTGGTAAACTTTTGGAACTTATAAGATCATACTTAAGTGATAGATTGCAATACGTTTTTTACAATGGTTTTTCATCATTCTTCTTTAAGGCAGTATCCGGTGTTCCCCAGGGCTCCAATCTTGGGCCCCTACTTTTTTCTGTTTTTATCAATGATCTCCCTGATTCACTGAATTGTCACATTCTATTATATGCAGATGATGCTAAGCTTTTTTGTATTATAAATGATCTTAATGATGCTTTGCAACTTCAGGAGGACTTACATAAACTTACAATTTGGTGTTCTAATAATAACTTCTTCTTAAATATTAGTAAATGTAAAATTGTGTCATTTGGTAATAAAAAATCTCTTATTGTATTTGATTACACGATAAATGGAGAACACGTCACCAGGTGTGATGTTGTAAAAGATTTGGGAATTTATTTTGATTCTCGGCTCTCTTTTCGGTTCCATATTGATGAAGTAGTAAAACATTCACTCTCTTTGCTTGGGTTTATAATTAGACAATGTCGGGACTTCACTTCTACTGAACCTATGAAAATGCTGTTTAATACGTACATTATATCACGCTTACAGTATGGTTGCCTAATTTGGTATCCAATCTATTATTGCTATATTAATGTCATCGAATCAGTTCAAAAAAAATTTCTTAAATATTTATGGTTTAAAAAATATGGCACCTACCCTGCTAGAGGATGTGACAATTTGATACTTCAAAGAGAGTTTAATATACCGTCTTTACATGCTAGAAGAGAAGTTAGTGCTGTAATGTTTCTTTTTAAAATCGTCAATTATAAAATTGACTGCAGTGAACTTTTGGCCAAAATCTTCTTTCATGTACCACGTGTAAATAACAGACACTCTTTACCTTGGCATCTATCCACCGCTCGCACAAATATTTTGGTAAAAAGCCCGATTAATGTTATGTGTAGTAATTTTAACAACAAACTGAGAGATTGTGACATTTTTAATATAAATCTAAAAGATCTTAAGTATTTAGCTTTAAGTATCTTCACAAGAGAGTAATTATTAATTATCACTTATGTTTAGAATTATTATTATTATTATTATTATTATTATTTTTTTTTACTTTATCTTATCTTTTTCGTCTGTTTTCTACTTGCTAAGTAACTCTTAATTTAGACTTAT